AACAATGTTTCCATTGAATTTTTCCCATGGAATTTTGAGGTCAAGGATATCAACATAGAGGCGATTTTTTTGTGGGGATTGAATGATGGCAATATCTACAAACTACCACCTCCATCACCTCAATCCTTCTCACACAATTAGCATCATCCTTTCATCTTTGGCACCGATATCTTGGTCATCTAGCATTTTGCACTCTACTACATGCTCTCAAGTCCAGTCATATTTCCTTTCATGGTCCCTCTAATAAATGTTCCAATTGTCTTAGTAGTAAAAGCCATAAATTAGCCTTCAATAAATCTTCTTTAGTTAGTCATAAGCCTTTATATTTTATATTGGCTTCTACACCCTTTATTTTTATTGATTATTCTCGGTATTATGTTATTTTTATTGATCACTTTTCTAAATACTCTTGGATCTATCCAATGAAATCAAAATATGATGTTTCCCTTATTTATCCTATTTTTAAGAATCTGGTGGAAAATTAATTTGAATGCAAATTCAAAATTTGTATTTTGATAATGATGGAGAATTTTTAAAATTGAGATCTTTTTTCCATGCTCATGGCATCTCACATCTCACTTCACCTCCTCACACTCCAGAACATAATGGACTTTCAAAATGTAAGCACCATCATTTGCTTGAAAAAACTTGTGATTTAATGCAACATGCATCAACATTTTAGACATTTTCATTACAAACAGCTACATATTTAATCAATAGGCTTCCTACTATAGTCCTTAAAATGCAAAGCTCATTCTCTAAGTTATTCAATCAAAATCCCAATTACTCTAAATTAAAGGTTTTTGGGTGCCTTTGTTTCCCTTGGCTTAAGCCTTATACAAATAATAATTTTCAATCACGTTCTGAACCTTGTGTGTTTCTTGGCTATTGTCTCTCTCAAAGTGCCTATATTTGTTTCAATTTATAAAAAAATATTCATTCTAGGCATGTACAATTTGTTCAAGATATTTTTCCATTTTACACTCCACCAACTCACACCACCTTGCCTTCAAACTCTAGTTCTATTCCATGAATTCATTAGCTCTAACTTCCACGCCTAGTCTACCACTCACTACCCATCACCCATTAATTCCCCAATCACCTGCCCCATGTTCCTCTAGTCCTCATGTTCCAAATACAGAACCCTCTTTGAGTTTAACCCTCCATGTAGTTCCTTCTAGTGTGACATCCTCTCAGTCCCTTGTAAACTGTGACACCCTCTACCTCGCATACCATAACACATAAATAATAAAATTAGAATAACACAGTCTTTCATTTTTATAATATCAAACGTGTACAGATAGAGAGCACCAAAACCAAAACTTAAACAAATGGCATAACCAGGGGTAATTACAAAAGAAATAAGGCTAAGGTTTTGAAAATAATTTAATAGAAATAACACCCTAATCTAATCATATCTACGCCCCGATGTCACATGTCCTATCAGAGCATAGCCCAACATAGAAGCCTAAGCTTCATCACCTCATCCTCATGCTGATAATAACTTGTATAACAGTCAAAGGAAAACAACAAAAAGAAAAAGGAGTGAGAAACATCTCACTCTAGCTTAGTGTAGAAATACACACCGGATAGTCAAACACAAACAAGACATGTATATGTACATAACATAGATGGATTAATAACAATGTCACATTCCCCTCATCAAAGGCATAAAAATCACTTTAACAATAACATTAAAATGCACATGTAATGGACAGGACTACATATTATCATGCACGTGGAGCCAATAACATATCACATGGCATATTGCTGCTAGCAATACACGAAGAGTAGTCTAGGAGTACATGCTGGGTCACACCTTATGCGCACTCTCACTAGAAGGACATACTACTAGGGTCTCGTCGGGATAGCTAAGCCGCGCAAGATACATCCCATGCACACAATGGGTGAGACTAGGACTTACAAACCGAGCTATCCCCAAGGACTAATTCCCAAGCTTTTACACAAGGGGGCCTTCCTTAGCGGTGTATTTCATATCGTACACTTAAAAACCTTTATGTAAATGATGCATGTCAATCAAGACTCTATGCATTCTCATATCACATTATCATGTCTCATCATCATGTCTTATCATCATATCATATCATCATATCACATCATTATATCTCATTATATTCACATAGTTTCCACAGAGCACTTTAATTCATATCAAAAGTTATCTATTTGCGAAAGTAAACACATATTCGTACACCTTATTCAACAAGGAATACAACAAAATAATCAGAAAACAAAACAGAAAATATTAGAAATTTGTCTGTTCCTCGTAGGGTTTCCCGTAAGAACCCATAGAGCACTCTAATTCATATCAAAACATTTTTATTCTCAAAATTAATCACATATTCACACATTAGATTCAACAAGGAATACAATATAGCAATCAAAAAACAAAACAGAAAAAATTCATATTTTACCTGTTTCGGGTTCTCTCAAGAACCCATAGAGATCTCAAATCATACAATTATTTACATATAAGAAGAGCAACAGAAGAAACATATATAATTGGGAAAAGCCCCTCACACATGAGTATACAACAAACATAGGATTGGGAGCCAATCCCATTACCCAACATATATTCCCACACCCAGAGCAAGGTTTCTCACTCCCCCCTTACCTTGATAAGCAAGAGCTAAAACTAAAGCCAGATCTTGCTGGTCTCCTCCTCTGGGTTCCCCCTTGGTCTTCAGAGAGTGTAGAAGAAAAAGAGATCAGAAGTAAAAAATGTGCTTTTGGGAGTGCCAGAGCGTTCTATTTATAGGCATCAAGAGTGGCCAGAATGGCTCGTTTTGAATCCAAAATGGCCCGTTCTGGACTCATTTGTCATGCTTAAATTTCATATCCAAAACGGCCCGTTCTCAAACCAGAACGGCCCGTTCCGGGATTACAATTTAACCCACAACGACCATGTTTGGAACGGCCCGTTCCCAAAGTGGAACGACCCATTCTGAGTTCGCATATTGCTCATAAAATCCTGTGTTGGAACGGCCCGTTCCAGTCTATGGTTTAAAGGCCATTTTAGTAGTTTGGAGCAGCCCGTTCCAGTTTGGAAACGGCCCGTTCTGGACTACTAAAAATCAAAATATTTTTCAAAAATAATTTTCATAAAAATAAATAATAATTAACCCTTATACTAGTAGAAAATTTGGGATGTTACACAAACCCCCACAATTACTGATATTCCCTCTAGTGCCTCTCGCCCCATGATTACACGAAGCAAGAATGACATCTTTAAGCCAAAGAAAATATTTTTTGTCACCAAATACCCAATGCCATTCTTAGAGTGGAGCTTTCATGTGTGACATAGGCACTAAAACATGATGTTTAGAAACAAGTTATGAGAGATGAGTTCAATGCACTCATGAAGAATGGAGCTTGGAGTCTCGTTCCCCCACAACCCCACTACAATATGGTTGGCAACAAGTGGATTTTTCAACATAAGCATAACATTGATGGAACTATTGCACGACGCAAAGCAAGGTTGGTTGCTAAAGGCTTTTACCAATGACCTGGTATTGATTTCAAGGACACCTTCAACCCAATTATCAAGACTCAAACTATCAAGCTTGCTTTATATATTGCTCTCTCTCATGGATGCACTAGTGCAAAAATAGGCTTTTACATCACCTAATTAACGTCATAAAAACGTAAACCCGACGTTATAAAAACACGGTGGCAATTCCATAAATATGGACTGACTAATTTACGTCGGACATTGGGGGGTTCGACGTAAATTAGTCACTAAAATGCTAACGTTCTTTTCATTTCTCGCGTCCCTTTGTTTTCTCTCATCTAACTCTCAATCTTCTTCTCTCAATCTCTAAGTGTCTAAGTTCGTGTGTTTGCACATTCCAGACTAAGCCTAAGATTCTGCACATTCGACATTTGAGGTAACTTTCTTAAACGAATTAATTTCTGAATTTTCTGTTAAATGTTCATCTGGAACGGCCCGTTCTACAACCAGAACGGGCCGTTCTGCTTGATTTATTTGTTTGTTTATTGTTGATCTGGAACGGGCCGTTTCGAAACCAGAACGGCAAATTACAGCTAAACAATTAACAAAGAATTATTGCAGCTGGAATGGGCCGTTCTGATTTTAGAACGGGTCGTTCCAGACGCATAAATCTTTGTTTATTTTGAACCTGGAACGGCCCGTTCTGGTTTCAGTACGGGCCACTCCAGATGCATTAAAGAGGGACTTTTTAATGCATTGACCTTTAGTTTATCATCGTATTAGTAGAAATATTTATGGATTTTATCCGAAGTTACTATCGATTTTTTAGGGTTGTAGTTTAGGTTAGAAAAATTATGAATAACTGAGTCAATAGTTAATTTGTGTTAATATATAGATAATGAATCAAAGTTGGATGAATGCAAGTCGCATTAGTCGCATTATCATTGTGTTAATATATAGATAATGTAACAAATTTTTCATTCGTAAAAGACACTTCACATATTTGATTTTAATTTTAATGGCATTAGCTTTATATTTCAGGATTATGGAGGATTCGGGGTCTGGCAGTGGAAGGAGGGAAGGTAGATCTGTCACCCGATTGTCTGGGTTGACAGCTGGACGCATTACCAAGGAGAGGACACCGGTTGAGGTGGATCCTCGTTCTAGCAAGGCGTCAGGCCCAAATGCTTCCAAGTTTAAGAGCTATTTGGGAGTCCTAGCTCGACGACATGTTTCTATTATCATTCCATCATGGGATGACGTTCAGGAGGCTGACAAGAACCTCATGTGGCAGGATATTCAGGTATATACTTTCACATCCTTTCAATATTATATAACTTAAATACATTATTTATTATTTGTTGTTATTTTCATAGCAAAATTTTGACATTCCCAACACTGAGGTCATGAGGAGGAAGATGTTATCTGCCCTTGCCACCAGGTGGAGAGACTTCAAGACTTTCTTGACACGGGAGTATGTATTTGGAGAGCGACAAAATGAGACTCCCTGTCTAAAGTACCAGATCACTGATGAGGAGTGGATGCAATTTCGTGCCACTCGATTGGACCCTTCGTGGCAGGTTAGTTATTGATAACTCTTACATTGACACAAATACTTAAGGTATATTTTAATTAATCTCATTTTCTTTTTTGTATTATTGCAGGCTAAAAGAATAGCTGCCCAAGAACGACAGGCCAAGAATGATGCACCCCATCTATTGTCAAGAGGGGGATATGAAAGAAAAAAAAAGGAAATGAAGAAGGCTAGGGCAGAGGCAGCAGGGGTTGAGTCTGCTGACCGTGTGGAGTCACCTCCCCGCCATGAGATGTGGATAGCAGCCCGGACAAAATCAGATGGGCAAATGACTTCTGAGTCTGCAAGGGTCGTTGCTGATAAAATAGTAAGTAAAAATATACAAACTAAGACTCTTCATTTCAACTCATTTAATTCATAAGTGTAGTTTAGGGTATACTTATTGTTAATATGTTGCAGGAGGGTTTAGTTGAGCAGACCACCCAGGGCTCATTTGTTTCCCATGGTCGGGATGATATCCTCACAACGGCCATAGGAAGGCCAAAGCACGCAGGCCGTGTGCGTGGTGTTGGTGGTTCTTGGAGCCACCGAGATTTCTTTGGTGCACGACCATCAAGGAGCACTGTTGACTCTTGCAGTCAAGAGGATATGCAGAGAATGGAGATGTAGTTTGAAGAGAAATTGAAGAACATTTTAGAAGAGTTTGAACAGAAGTTTGAACTTTTGGCTCGTTCTCAGCAACAAACTACAGTTGCTCATGATGGTGTTCGAGTCAACACTAAAGGGAGTTGTGCTGTTCCAGATCCCTCAGCAGAACAGACTCATACTGATGTACTAAACTAGTGTGAGTTATATGTTGAGGATGACCCGCCACGGTTAGTGGCTATTGGCCGAGTATTTGAGGGTGGCTCAACCATCCATGGTGTCCCTCTACAGCCAGAATGGACACGGGTTGTGGTTGACCAAGTTCAAGATGATGCTGCTCCAGTGCCTTTGCCCAATACAGAGGTTCAACTAGTGGGGCAAGCAACCGACACATTCTTAGCTTGGCCAAAACGTTTGGTCATGCCGCTTTCAGCACGGGCAAAGGTAATTATATTATTGCTCTTTTATATTCTTATAATTCTATTATTGTTTAACTAATTTTGATTATTTCTTTAGGATTTTATCAATCGTGGTAAGGAGGTCATGAGAGAACCTCATGTTGATCATGCTAATATCGCAGAAGCTGAGGATGATCCCATATCTAGGCTTCTAACCATATTACCACGATTAAAGAAGAAACCAATTCAATTGCAGTGGGACATTAGAGTTTTTGGAGTTGATAGCTCTGATGTTCCACTATACATATCCCTGCCTGATGCATTAGAGATTGTTGGGGGAAACTCCATGTTAAATATATCTATCATACAGTTGTGGGCCATGTAAGTCATATTTTCTTTTATGAGTCTAAATTTACAATAATTACATTTAACTTATAATAATTATTTGTGTTAGGTACATGGACAAATTGAGTGTGGAGCAAGCACAAGCACAAGTATATGGATTTATTGAGCCTCAATCCATCCAAAAATCAGGAAACACTCAGGTCCAGATCCAGCAATATATGCAAACATGGATGAGTGACTCAGGAAGAGATATATACATGGCTCCATACATTGACGGGTTAGTTTTTTAATTGGTTTTTTAATCATGGTAATTTTATAACTAATTTGTTTGTCATACAATGTAGGTCCCATTGGCAGTTAATGGTAATCATTCCTAAGGAATACACCGTGGTGTGGTTTTGTTCACTACATCGAAAACCAAGCCACGAAATTAAATGCCAATTACAAGGGTAACTAAAATTTTTCATTATGTTTTAAAACTGTAATTATATATATTGGCTAACATCTAATTTTATTTCACTTAATTAGAATCTTGTCTGGAGCTAATATTTTAAGTGGAAGAAGCATATCAGCAAAGACATTGCACTTCATATACCCTAAGGTTAGCAAATTAATTAATACAGGCAATAATATTTAAATTTATTGACTTTGAAAATAATAGTTATTTGTTTCTCATTTTAGTGTAATAAGCAACAAGATTCATTTGAATGTGGCTATAACATCATGTATTGGATGAGAGCCATAGTTTCTGCGGGTATTACTGATTCTTGGGTGCAGGTAATTCATATCAAAATTTATTTAAGTATATTTACCTTTAGGATAATTAACATTGCATATTAATGACACTTAAATTAATGTTTCAGGTCTTTCAAGATCCATCTCCATTGCCCGAAGATGAGATCATCAAGATAAGAGAACAATGGACAACTTTTTTTCTTCAAAGTATATATTAGTTAGATTTCTAAGTTTAGTTAGTTAGATATTATGTTTCTAGTTTGATAGCATTGACAAACATATGTTTTATAGCTTTTTTAGGATAATAGGATTTACATTGTCATAATTTATGCTTTTTAAGATTTATATATTATTTTCTTTGTCATTCAATTTTGAAATATAATTTAAATTTCTATTCTGGACTGCCTAGTTTAGGTTTTATATTCTGGACTGCCTGGTTTATTTTATATTCTCGACTATATATATGCAGGTTTTGGGTATATTAAAAAACAACCAAAATAAAAAAAAAAAAAAAACGCAAGAATTTACGTCGGACTATACCTTGTTCGACATAAATTTACGTCGGACCTAACACTGGCCGACGTAAATTTACGTTGGACAAGGCATAGTCCGACGTAAATTCTTGCCTCTTTTTTCCCCTTTAAAACCCCTTTTTTACGTCGAGCACAAGGAATCTCCGACGTAAATTTACGTCGTCATTTAGAGGCGACGTAAATTTACGTCTCCCGTATTAACGTCGGAGCCTTTTTCGACGTAAAAGCCTCAAAATATCCGACGTTAAAGACCCCTTTTGTACTAGTGATGGTCTCATTGTCAAATGGACGTGAACAATGTTTTTCTTCATGGCTCCTTAATCGAGGATGTGTATATGTCTCAATAGGTTAGGGTTTCTCTGAAGGACCTTGGCTTTCTTAATCATTTTTTGTGAGTTGAAATTTTATCTACAATACAAGGGTTGTTTCTTACACAATATCATTACATTCGACATCCCCTTGAACGTGCAAATATGTTTGAAGCAAAGCCAATCTCAACTCCTATGTCAATAACCTACTCATCTATTGTTCAACCTGATTCCTCTAGTTGTGAAGCCACATTACATCGTAACTTAGTATGATCTCTTTACTACCTCTCTCTAACCAAGCCTGATGTTGCCTTTCCTATCAACAAGCTTTTTCAGAATATGCAAAATCCAACTTTTTTTTTTCATATGCAAGCCTTGAAACGCATCTTGCGCTACTTGAAGTCCATAATTGATCATGGCTTGCATCTCACACGATCACCTAACGTGTCTCTCATTGCATTTTGTGCTGCTGATTGGGGTGGTGAAAGCATTGATCTCAAATCAATAGGTGCTTATCTCGTTTATCTTGGCCCTAACGTCATCTCCTGGTCATGCAAAAAACAATCCATTGTTGTGCATTCATCTACAGAGGCTGAATACAGAACAATTGCCTCCATTACCACTAAGTTTCTTTGGTTGCACCAAATTCTTCATGAGCTCAGTATATCACCTTTTGTTCCACAAATTTATTCAGACAACATTGGTGCAACCTATCTTTGTGCCAATCTTATGTTTCACTCCCACATGAAACATTTGGCAATTGATTACCATTTTGTTCGCAACTTGGTCTCTTAAAGCAAGCTTAAAGTCTCTCACATTCCTTCTAGTCACCAACTAGAAGATTTGATGACCAAACCTCTAGTTACTCCACACCACAACTTCTAAAATCCAAGATTTGTTGACCAAACCTCCATCTTGTAGGGTGCATGTTGGAATATTATTGTGGTTGTTACTTTCATTATCTTTAAAATTGTATTTCAAATATTTGAATCTTTAGGATAAATTTGTTATTTTCCTTTATCTTCAACTATACATTTTAATTATTTGAATCTTTAGGATAAGTTGTTTTGGTTTATCTATTGGGTTGTTACCATGTATTTCACATGGTTCTATTTATTTAGTTGTATATATATTCTAATGTAACTCACTTGAAAATTGAGTTACACATATTGTACTAAATTATTTCTTCTTTACATACAATAGTAATAAACCCAAAGCAAAGTCAAACTCATTAATTAGACACATAATTAATAGTCATACAAAGGCTTAGGGATCGTCTCCTTACTCATATCCTTCATATTCGCTCACAAGGTGAGACATTTTCACTCTGCCTCTAATCTTAGATGGAGATCTACAAGGCACAAGCACAATGGTCCATCATTTCAAGGCTACTCCACGCATTCCTTGAAGTTCTCCTTTGTAGCCTTTTAGGGTTTAGAAATCTAACGCATTATATGACTTAACATCCCATCTACTTTTATATTTTAATAAGACTACAAGTTGGGCTTAAGAGTCCAAATCCAAAGGCTCCACTATAACCCTCCTCTTAAACTATATTTTATTTTATTTATTAAAAACATTCTTTTTTATATTATGAGCTAAATTAAATAAATTAGTTAAACCTATATTATTAATAATATTTAACAACTTTATTTTATTTTTATTTTTGAAAAATAAGATATTACATAAACCACTTGCATTGGGTTAAATCCTAAAATCAACAACTACAAACGTGTCTAACTAGAGAAAATATGCAAGTAATCAACATGAAAATCAACCCTTATATTTAAAATATGAATGATTATCTTATACAAGAACGTTTTTAGAAAGTTTTCTTTGTTGAATTTTAATATTTTAAAATAAATTATTAATAAATAAAAATAATATTATACTATAATATAAAAAATTTATCATATATCTAAAATATAATTTATATATTTAAAAATATATATTTATTTCAAGTTTTATATATAATTATATATTCAAACATAATATTTATTTATATACCTAATTTATTTTAAATTTTAATTATATATAATAAATATTTAACATACAATACATGCTAAAACACTAGTGGTTAAAACATATACATATTCAATCAAGTTATTATCAAAACAACATAGGTTTCACTTTATTATTTTGTGAAACTTTAATGTTTCTTAGTTGAGACTGATACTAATCTCTCAAACTATTAAAATTTATTTAAGAGATCAATTCTAATCACATTCTTAAGTGATATGATTACCTATCAACTATATTAAATAATATTTGATTTACTTAATGCTTAAGCATCAACTATTATCTTATACCATTAAACTATTTATTTTAAATCTAGGTTTTATTTACCACAACAATATAACTATTATGATATATAGATTAGAATGTTGAGGAGATAAAAAATAGTTCACATATGAGAAGTACACATCAATATGAATCCAAAATTAAATTTTGGCTCTCCAAAAAAGAAAATTTAGAAAGAAAATCAGCCATTACAAGATTACGATATTTTGCTATCAATATCTACATTAATTACATGGCTAGATATCTTAGGATTATCCTTACCAAAAGATAAAAGTAGTAGCAACATATATAAAGAGAAAAAAAAGGTGGCATATATGGTAAGGAAGGATAGAGAGAAATTCAAAAGAAATCTTCAAATATTTGATGGAGAATTTAATGCCAACTTTTAATCTTAAGGAAAAAAGAAAGGGAAGAATATGGATTGAATTCTTTAATAGCATTAAATTTTGTACGAGATTAGACACTAAGACAAGTGTTCACTAGTACAAAAGAGGTATTCTACGTCGGTTATTTTGAGCTTTTTACGTCGAAAAAAATACCGACGTTAATGCGGGAGACGTAAATCTACGTTGGCTTTGTAAAACCAACGTAAATTTACATCGGACATTACCAAGGTCCGACGTAAAAAAATAGTAAAAAAAAAACATAACAAGTGCAAGTATTGATTCCAATAAATTATTTTTTATACAAACAATAAATAATATGTTATTTATTACCTTTTTTCCTATGATAATAAGTGTTATGTTAAAAAAAAGTTTTAAAATAAATTTCATAATGTAGTATTAATTACTTCTTTTCAATTTACATCCTTAGTAATACTCCTCTAATCATTAATATAAGACATTTACACAAACCAATATTTATTGATTTTATTAAATTTATAAAAAGAAATTATAATATATCAATTTTATTTTCTTACTTATCATTGAATGTTTATAAAAGAGGTGAAATTATTACTTTATATCAAAGTTTATACAATGGTACCAATAAAATTTTTAAAAAAAATGACAATTGAAGAGTTTAAAGGGTGAAAAAAAATATTTATTTCTCAAATTCTTTTCTCTTTGTCCAACAACAATAAACACATTTTCTCACAATCTTTAATAGGGACAATAGATAAAAAATAATAATAATTAATGCTTCATAGAAATTGTAAAATACCTTAATGGTGTGTTTGGATGAGGAATTTATATAGGGTAATTCATTTATTTGAAGAATTTTAAATTCTTTGAGGTGAAATGCTTTGTTTGGATGATGAATTTACAAAGAATTTGAAATCCAAGCATTTGTGAAATTCCTTAAAATAGTAGAATTTCAAATTCTCCCAAAAATGGGAGAATTTGAAATTCCTTATATTTTTTTTTTCTTATTTCACCTATATATTTTATTTTATCTCTTCATTCTTTTAATTATTGGATATATAAAAATATTTTTAAAATTATTAAATATTATCTTATATTAATTTTTAAAATTATTAAATATTATCTAATATTAATTTTTAAAATTATTAAATATTTAAAAA